ACTGTTCAAAATCTTTGGGATGCAGCAAAGGCAGTCCTAAGAGGAAAGTATATAGCAATACAAGCCTTTCTCAAGAAACGAGGAAGGTCTGAAAAACACAACATAACCCTATACCTAAAGGACCTGGAGAAAGAGCAGTAAATAAAGCCTAAACCCTGCAGGAGAAGAGAAATAATAAAGATCAGAGCAGAAATCAATGAAATAGAAACCAAAGAACAGTAGAACAGATCAACACAACTAGGAGCTGGTTCTTTGAAAGAATTAATAAGATTGATAAACCCCTCGCCAGACTTAGCAAAAAGAAGAGAGAAAGGACCCAAATAAATAAAATCACGAAGAGGAGAGATCACAACCAACACCAAAGAAATACAAACAATTTTAAGAATGTATTATGAGTAACTATATGCCAGCAAATTAGACAATCTGGAAGAAATGGATGCTTTCCTAGAGATATCTAAACTACCCAAACTGAACCAGGAAGAAATAGAAAACCTGAACAGACCCAGAACCAGTAAGGAAATTGAAGCAGTAATCAAAAATCTCCCAAAAAACAAGAGCCCAGGGCCAGACGGCTTCCCAGGAGAATTCTACCAAACATTTAAAGAAGAATTAATACCTATTCTTCTGAAACTCTTCCAAAAAATAGAAATGGAAGGAAAATTCCCAAACTCATTTTATGAGGACAGCATTACCTTGATCCCCAAACCAGACGAAGACCCCATCAAAAAGGACCAATATCCCTGATGGACATGGATGCAAAAATTCTCACCAAAATACTAGTCAATAGGATCTAACAATCCATTAAAAGGATTATTCACCACCACCAAGTGGGATTTATTCCTGGGCCGCAAGGTTGGTTCAAAATCTGCATTCAATCCATGTGATACAATGCATTAATAAAAGAAAGAACAAGAACCATATGATCCTCTCAATAGATGCAGAAAAAGCATTTCACAAAGTACAACATCCTGTCTTGGTTAAAACTCTTCACAGTGTAGGGATAGAGGGTACATACCTCAATATCATAAAAGCCATTTAGGAAAAACCCACAGCGAATATCATTCTCAATGGGGAAAAACTGAGAGCCTTTCCCCTAAGGTCAGGAACACGGCAGGGATGTCCACTATCACTACTGCTATTCAACATAGTACTAGAAGTCCCAGCCTCAGCAATCAGACAACAAAGAGAAATCAAAGGCATCCAAATTGGCAAAGAAGAAGTCAAACTCTCACTCTTTGAAGATGATATGCTACTTTATGTGGAAAACCCAAAAGACTCCACCCCAAAACTGCTAGAACTCATACAAGAATTCAGGCAAAGTGGCAGAATATAAAATCAATGCACAGAAATCAGTGGCATTCCTATACGCCAACAACAAGACAGGAGAAAGAGAAATTAAGGAGTCATTCCCATTTACAATTGCACCCAAAACCATAAGATACCTAGGAATAAATCTAACCAAAGAGGCAAAGAATCTGTACTCAGAAAACTATAAAATACTCATGAAAGAAATTGAGGAAGACACAAAGAAATGGAAAAACGTTCCAAGCTCATGGATCGGAAGAATAAACATTGTTAAAATGTCTATGCTACCTAGAGCAATCTACACACCCAAAGCAATCCCTATCAAAATACCACCCACTTTTTTCAAAGAAATGGAACAAATAATCCTAAAATTTGTATGGAACCAGAAAAGACCCCAAATAGCCAGGGGATTGTTGAAAAAGAAAAGCAAAGCTGGTGGCATCACAGTTCCGGACTTCAAGCTCTATTACAAAGCTCTCATCATCAAGACAGTATGGTACTGGCACAAAAACAGACACATAGATCAATGGAACAGAATCAAGAGCCCAGAAATGGACCCTCAACTCTATGGTCAACTAATCTTCAACAAAGCAGGAAAGAATGTTTAATGGAAAAAAGACAGTCTCTTCAACAAACGATGCTGGGAAAATTGGACAGCCACATACAGAAGAATGAAACTAGACCATTTCCTTACACCACACACAAAAATAAACTCCAAATGGATGAAAGACCTAAATGTGACACAGGAATCCATCAAAATCCTTGAGAAGAACACAGGCAGCAACCTCTTCGACCTCAGCCACAGCAACTTCTTCCCAGAAACATCGCCAGATGGAAGGGAAGCAAGGGTAAAAATGAACTATTGGGACTTCATCAAGATAAGAAGCTTTTGCACAGCAAAGGAAATAGTCAACAAAACCAAAAGACAACCGACAGCATGGGAGAAGATATTTGCAAATTCAAATCAAAACCACATTGAGATACCACCTTACGCCAGTTAGAATGGCAAAAATGGACAAGGCAAGAAACAACAAATGTTGGAGAGGTTGTGGAGAAAGGGAAACCCTCTTACACTGTTGGTGGGAATGCAAATTGGTACAGTCTCTTTGGAAAACAGTGTGGAGGTGCCTCAGAAAATTATAGAGCTACCCTATGATCCACCAACTGTACTCTTGGGTATTTACCCCAAAGACACAGATGTAGTGAAAAGAAGGGCCATATACACCCCAATATTCATAGCAGCAATGTCTGCAATAGTCAAATGGTGGAAAGAGCCAAGATGCCCTTCAACAGATGAATGGATAAAGAAGATGTGGCCCATATATACAATGGAATATTACTCAGCCATCAGAAAGGATGAATACCCAACTTTTACATCAACATGGATGGGACTGGAGGAGATTACGCTAAATGAAATAAGTCAAGCAGAGAAAGTCAATTATCATATGGTTTCACTTATGTGTGGAACATAAGGAATAGCCTGGAGGACATTAGGAGAAGGAAGGGGAAAAATGAAGGGGGGGGTGAATCGGAGGGAGAGACAAACCATGAGAGACTATGGATTCCGAGAAAAAAACTGAGGGTTTTGGGGGTTGTGGGGGGATGGGTTAGCCCAGTGATGGGTATTAAGGAGGGCATGTACTGCATGGAGCACTGGGTGTTATACTAAAAGAATGAATCATGGATCACTACATCAAAAACTAATGATGTACTGTATGGTGACTAACATAACATAATAAAATAAAATGAAATTTTTAAAAATGACATATCAGATAAAGGGCTAGTATCCAAAATCTATAAAGACCTTATCAAACTCAACACCCAAAGAACAAATAATCCAATCAAGAAATGGGCAGAAGACATGAACAGACATTTTTCCAAAGAAGACATCCAAATGGCCAACAGACACATGAAAAAGTGCTCAACATCGCTCGGCATCAGGGAAATCCAAATCAAAACCTCAATGAGATACCACCTCACACCAGTCAGAATGGCTCAAGTTAACAAGTCAGGAAACGACAGATGTTGGCGGGGATGCAGAGAAAGGGGAACCCTCCTACACTGTTGGTGGGAATGCAAGCTGGTGCAGCCACTCTGGAAAACAGTATGGAGGTTCCTCAAACAGTTGAAAATAGAGCTACCATACGATCCAGCAATTGCACTACTATTTACCCCAAAGATACAAATGTAGTGATCCAAAGGGGTATGTGCACCCCAGTTTATATCAGCAATGTCCACGATAGCCAAACTATGGAAAGAGCCACTCATATGTGGAATTTAAGAAACAAAACAAATGAGCAAAGGTGGGGGGGAGACAAACCAAGAAACAGACTCTTAACTATAGATAAGAAACTGATGGCTACCAGATGGGAGGTGGGTGGGTGGGTAGATGGGTGAAATATGTGAAGAGGATAAGAATACACTTATCACAGTAAGCACTGAGCAGTATATGGAATTGTTGAACCACTATATTTTACACCTAAAACTAATATAAACTAATTTTAACTATACTGGGATTAAACTTCAATTTCATTGGACACCTGGGTGGCTCAGTCAGTTAAAGGACTGCCTTGGCTCAGGTAAAGATCCTAGGATCCTGGGGTCGAGTCCCACAACGGGCTCCCTGCTTGGGGGGATGGGGGGGGCTGCTGCTTCTCCCTCTCCTTCTGCCGCTCTGCTCCCCCTGCCTGTGGTCTCCTGCTCTCTCTGTCAAATATTCATTTAATTCATTTATTTTTTTAAAATTTTATTTATTTTTTTAAAATTTTATTTTATTTAGAATGTTCATTTAATTTAAAAAAGGCTTTATGCAAGTGCAAAGGACATTTCTGAATTTCACAATCCATTTACCTGTGTAGTTGAGGAGCTGCCATTTTTGACATGATAAAAAGCAAATATAAGGGGAAAAAATTACGGGACTCTATAAATGGCATCCAAGCAATTAATATGTTCAGTTTAAATCATAGGCTTGTGAATGTCAGCATTTGACAGTACCTATCTATTCAAAAAGTTTTCAAGGATGAAATAGACTTAGCATTAACAGATCAACCATTGCGATCCATTTTGGAGGTGGCATCCCAATTAAGCAAAATGTTATCCCTATTAAAAGAACTTCATTCTTCTCATCAGACCTGTATTACAAACAAGAAAACTGTATTCATTCATTATCATTATATTTTGAGTTTCTCAATACAAAAGGGGGCCAGGGGAATGGTATTCCAGGACTCAGGAGGGCGATGACTTCTGTCGTCGCCTCCTCCGGATGCAGCAGCTACACCGGGCGGGAACCCGGCAGTCCGATATTCTGATTGGTAGGGACTGTGAGAGTGCCCTCGGCCCTACTCGTCCCCCAACCCTTCCCCACCCTCACTCCTCCCCGCCCCACCCCCGCCTCCCGTAAGCGAAATTCTACTAGGGCTGGGGCGGAGGTTCAAGCCTCCCGGGTGAGCGCTGCTCCAGGGAAAGCCGACCAGCGAGCGTGTGGGAGTTCCGAGCCCAGCACGTGGGAAGCGGTCCGCCTAGGTCGCCGCTGGCGCATGCGTATCAGGGAGCCTAAGCCAGCGCGGCGCGGTCGCCATCGCTGGAAAACTTCCGTCAGATCCCGACTGGCACGGGCGGCTGGTCCAGCCCCAGGGACCCAGCCGCTGGGCGTCATTGGCTCGGGCAGTAGGGCCCTGACTGTCCCGCCTAGGTCGGGCCCGGCGGCAGCGGTGGCGACGGCGACGGCGGCGGCGGCGGCGTGAGGGGGCGGAGCCGCCCAGAGCGCCCTTTGTCTGTGGAGGCTGGTGAGTGCCGCGCGCCGCGGGCCGGGAAGCTGGCGAGGGGGAAGGGCTGGCGGCGGCCCGAGGGTACCCCGGTCGCCGTCGCCGCCCGCGTTCGACCCGGAGGCCCCCAGCAGAGCCCTCAGCCTTCCCCGAGACCCGCACCCCTTCTCTGGTAGAAAGGCCTCCCCATCCCAAGATTATAAACGTATTTTCCTCTGGTATCTTCTGCAGTTGATTTTTGTGTGGGCAAGGGTGGGTATCGTTTTGGGAAAGTTTTTCCCCATCTCAAGAACGTTAAAACATTCACCTTTATTTTTTCTACTGCTTTTAAGGAATTTTTTAATATCTTTTTTCATTTCTACCTATATTTTGTTGGGTATTAATTTTGTTGCAAGTTGTTAGATAGGAATATGCCTTTTCCCGGTTGCCCTGCCATTAGATGTTGAATCATTTTCCCACTGAATTGAAATGACACTTTTATTATATTCTGAAGGCGTGTATATTCTGCAAACCCTGATCTGTTTCCAGACAGTTTCTTTCACTGACCTGACAGTTTCTGCACTGATACCATTTTGTTTTAATTAAAAATACGTTTTAATATGTGACAGAGCAAATCTCCCTTAATTATGTCCTTTGACGTAATGGTCTATTTCTTTTGATGTATTTGAAATTGTGAAAAATGTAAAGGTACAAAAATTATAATTCTCTAAGAGACAGATTTGATCATGGTACTTAGTAGGTGCTCAGTAGATAGTTATTAAATGAGGAATGTTTGTTGAAAGTCACTGTGTTGTTGAAAACTTACGTTTCCCTGTTGCCATCAGGATAATTTCTAAGACGACTTCCTTAGACGTGCCCTCAAAGCCCTTTATGATCTTAATATTGCATACTGTTTGGCTTTCCACCCTTGCACATCATGCTGTAGCCATACCAAACTACCTAAACATGGCCCAAAACCTTCTGGGAAAAATTCATTAATTTGATTATGTCAAAATTTTTAATTTCTGTATTCAAAAAGAACAAAGGGCTAAAAACAAGACACATGAAAATATTTGCAACATGTGTAAGAGACAAAGGATTAATGTCCACAATATGTAAAAAGCCTCTGTTAATAGAAAAAAAAAGAAAGAAAAAAGAAAAATAGTCAAAGGATACACATAGACAATTTTTAGAAGAAATACAGGTAACCAAAACACACACACACAAATTTTTTTAATGCTTCACCTCATAAGTAACCATAGAATGCAAATGAAGACAAAGGTATTTTTCACACAGTAGCCTGGCAATATATAAAAATAATGATGATACAGGATGTTGAGGAAAGTGCCCAGGGAAGGGCACCAATTGTAAGACTGAGGAAGACACTTTGAATGGCAATTTGACAATACCTACCAAAATGTTAAATGAGCTCACTCTGGCTCAGAAATTTCAAAAAAAAAAAAAAATTCATTCTGAAATCAGTCTTGCAGAAATATTTGCACAGGTACATGAGGTATGTAAAAAGATGTTTATTACAGTATTATTTGCAATTGTGAGAAATGAGTACAGCTTAAATGTTCACTAGGGATATGGTTAAATATATTATCATAGATCAATGCAGTAGAATACTATACTGCTATAAAATAGAATAAGGTAGTTTATTTTGAAGTTAACAAACAAGGAAAGATCTCTAAGACATTTAGGGAATAAAGGCTGCTGCAGAACAGTGGCACATAGTATGGTGTGAGTTACATTAAGTAGGGATGTGGTTATATATGTTCATAAATACCCAAAAAAGGATGTACACCAAATGACTGATGGTGAATTACTTCCAGGGAGGGAAGTAGAATAGGAGAGGGGTTGAAGGTCACTCAGTCTTACTCATATACTCCCAAATTTTGTGTACTTATGTTTTCATGTAGAATGTGTAAAAAACTTGTGACCATGTATAACTTGTGTAAGGAAAAAACAAAACAGAAAGGGAAAAATGAAGGGGGGAAATCAGAGGGGGAGACGAACCATGAGAGACTATGGACTCTGAGAAACAAACTGAGGGTTCTAGAGGGGAGGGGGGTGGGGGGATAGGTTAGCCTGGGGATGGGTATTAAAGAGGGCACATACTGAATGGAGCACTGGTTGTTATATGCAAACAATGAATCATGGATCACTACATCAGAAACTAATGATGTAATGTATGGTCATTAACGTAACATAATAAAATAAAATAAAATAAACCCTCACCCACACTTAGGACCTACACAGGGGAGAAAAACATTTTATAATGTAGAAAATTTTTAAATTAACTTTTTAAAAAAAAAGCAAAGAATAAAAGACAAATGATAACATGGAGACTACATTTGTCATTTATGTTATCACAAGGGAGTTGCTCTTTACTGTCTATGTTCAGGGGTCCCCAAGACCACCCTCAGGTTCAGTGATTTGCTAAAAGGACTCAGAACTCAGCAAAATTGCTATACTTAGAGTAGCATGAGTATTACAGTGAAAAGATACAGATTAAAATTAGCAAAAAAAAAAAAAAAAAAAATAACAGGAGAGCAGAGTCCAGGAGAGACCAGATACAAAGCTTCCAGTTGTCTTCTCTCAATAAGACTCATGCAGATAGCGTTTAATTCTCCCAGAAGTGATGTGTAATAACACATATGCAGTATCGCCAACCAGGGACTCTCATCCAAACTTTGGCATCCAGAGTATTTATTGGACGTTGGTCATGTAGGCATAGCTGACCGGCTGTGTTACTGACCTTCAGTCTCCAGTCCCTCCAGAGATACCACATGGCCCAAGAATCCCAACATAAATCCTATTTTAGCATAAACTTTCTGACCTGACAAAGCCTCAGGTAAACAGAGACACTCTTAACAGGCAGGATGTTGCAAGGCATTATAGGTTATCTCTCAGGAACCAGACCAGGCTAAAACCTTTCCTTAAAATGTGCAGAGTTTGGACCACCCAGACCCATTCAATTAATCCTTTCCTGCACAATATACTTTGTAACAAAGAATTCTTACAATAAAAGGCAAAATGGTAGAAAGGTGACAAATGACACAAAGGGTAATTTATAAAAGATGAAATATGAAAACTAAAAATATAAAAGTTCTGCCTTCCATGTTATCTAAGAATTACATATTAAAGCAGCAATTATATACTATTTATGTATTATATTTTAAAAGAATAATGCTTATTATTCTTGGCTAATGGTCACTCTCATATATTGTTGATGAATTAGTAAAATGATACAACCTTCCTCAATAATGTTTTACCTTCGTTTTGATCCAGCAGTTCCACTTCTAGGAATTTATCCTAAAGAAATAGGCAGACAGAATTATGCCAAAACTGTACATTGTTTGCTGTTGTCTATAACAGCAAACAGAAAGAAAGAAAGAAAGATCCTGAAAAAGTTTATTAATAATGAAGTTGTTAAATAAATTTTGACTATTGCATGCAATTGATTATACTAGGACACTAATTTTTTTATTTATTTGTTTATATATTTATATGTATATAAATATATATTTGTGTTTATTATTAGTTTTTAATTCCAGTATACTTAACATACAGTGTTACATTAACTTCAGGTGTACAGTAAGTGATCTAGCAATTCTGTACATTACTCAGTGCTCACCATGATAAGTGTACTCTTTAATCCCCATCACCTATTTCACCTATCCCCCCATCCACCTTACCCCTACCCACCTCCCCTGTGGTAACTATCAGTTTGTTCTCTAGCTATCTATCTATATATTTTTTTAAAGATTTTATTTATTTGACAGAGAGAGCACAAGCAGAGGGAGAGAGAGGGAGAAGCAGGCTCCCTGCTGAGCAAGGAGCCCGATGCGGGACTCGATCCCAGGACCCTAGGATCATGACCCAGGCCGAAGGCAGCCGCTTAATCGACTGAGCCACCCAGACGTCCCTTGTTCTCTATATTTAAGAGTCTATTTCTTGGTTTGTCTTTCTCTCTCTTTTTTTTTTCCTTTGCTCATTTGTTTTGTTTCTTAAATTCCACATATGAATAAAATCATATGACATGTGTCTTTCTCTGACAAACTTATTTCAGTTAGCATGATATTCTGTAGCTCCATCCATGCTGTTGCAAATAGCAAGATTCCATTCTTTTTGATGGCTGAGTAATATCCTGTGTGTGTGTGTGTGTGTGTGTGTGTGTGCCACGTGTTGTTTTTTTTTTACAGTTTGTTTTTGTTTTGTTTTTTCTCTGTGGAAAGTGACCGTTTTTTTAATTTAAATTTTGTTAGCATATAGTGCAATATTGGTTTCTGGAGCAGATTTCAGTGATTCATCACTTACATACAACACACAGTGCTCCTCACAACAAGTGCCCTCTTTAATACCCATCTCCCATCCCCCACCTACATCCCTCCATCAACCCTCAGTTTGTTCTCTGTCTTTAAGAGTCACTTATGGCTTGTTTCCCTCTCTCTTTTTATTTTCCCCCTTCCCATATGTTCATCTGTTTTCTTTCTTAAATTCCACATATGAGTGAGATTATATGGTACTTGTCCTTCTCTGACTGACTTATTTCACTTAGCATAATACACTCTAGCTCCATCCATGTTGTTGCAAATGGCAGGGTTTCATTCTTTTTGATGGCTGAGTCATATTCCATTGTATACATATACCACATCTTCTTTATCCATTCATCAGTTGATGGATATTTGGGTTCTCTCCATAGTTTGGCTGTTGTTGATAATGCTGCTATAAACATTGGGGTGCAATGTACCCCTTCAAATCTGTATTTTTGTAACCTTGGAGTAAATACCTCATAGTGCAATTGCTGGGTGGTAGGGTAGTTCTATTTTTAACTTTTTGAGGAACCTCCAAACTGTTCTCCAGAATGACTGCACTGGTTTGCATTCCCACCAACAGTGCAAGAGGGCTCCCTGTTGTCCACATCCTCACCAACACCTCTTGTTTCTTGTGTTGTTAATTTTATTTTTTTTTAAAGATTTTATTTATTTATTTGAGAGAGAGAAAATAGAGAGAGAGAGCACATGAGAGGGGGGAGG